TTGCAGACTGGATTCATTGATTTCTATGTCAAATTGCTTTTCGAGCTCAATGATAGAGACCATTTTTAGAGATTTGCACAAATGAATAAACCTCCTACAGTTTTTAAACTCATTCAAGTCTGCACCAAGGTTATCCAAAATATCTCAATAAGATGTACCTTGTTCACTAAGACTTCAGTTTAATGAGGAGCAGCTGTATGAGTCACTGGCTGATTCTAAATTCTAGCAACTTATTTACTTAGAGAGATTCATAATAATGTAACTTAATGATGCATACAGTGCACATCAAGTTATGATTCAGTCTTAAAAGTATTTTTTTAGTATGCAGTATGCTCTGCCTAGACAACTCTACATAATCAAAGACTGTCAAAGACTGGAAACAAATCCTTGAGATTACCCAGTATAAACCTTTCATTTATAGTTGAGGAAACTGATACCCAAGCTTGTCCAAGGTCATTCCCAAGTAGCAAATAGCAAAGTCAGGATTAGAGCAAAGTTTTCAACTCCCAGTTCTTTGTGGTGTCCTCTACCTATCCTTCCTTTAAGACTTCTATCCCTGATGATTTCTTGCTTATAAGGATGGTCCAGAACCAGGCCATATTTCATTCTGTTTTGCAATGAACCTTCAAAATTTTGTGGGAAACCCTTGCAGTACAATGGTGAATAATTGTTATCAGGACTGACTGTGAGGGTTGGAAATGTAAAGGTAGATGTTTTGTAGCAAAAGGAGGGGAGTGATTGACTTTGCAGTCCAGGAGCGGAGGTCCCTGGGATCATCAAGGGAGAAGAGCAGAGTGCAGGACCCTACCCAGAGAAGCAGTGATACCAGAGATGGAGGCAGAGACGATGATGTGGAGAGATGGAGCAGCTGGGGACTCTAGACTCAGAAAGGGAGAGGAGTTGTGTGCTGACAACCTGGGGGCAGGCTTGCAGGGTATATCCTTTGGTTGGTTGATGATACATGGAGGGGATTGTAACCATGGCAATGAAACGATATATGATAAGATGAATGTAAAGCTAATGTTCTCCCTGTAAACTATCACATAATTCACAATAAACATTAAAAAATTTTGTGGGAAAATTGAATTAAAAGAATGGAATTTTCCTACAATCTTCTCGAAGTCTACTCTTACAGATGGCCACTATGAGTTGAAACTTACTCCACAGCACCTCACAACAATAATCACAAGTCCATTTAGCATTTGGCTTGAAACTTTTGCTTTTCACTCTCACTATAAAGAGATCTGGTACTGTAGAATCAGCACTGGACTGTAAACTACCAGGTCAGCAGTTCAAACCATCAGTAACTCCCTGGAAACCCTATACAGGGTCACTGTGAGTCAGACCTGATTCAGTGGCACTTAACAGCAGTGAGGAGCTCTGAGGGTATAAGGAGTTTTGCATTGGGCTGTTAAGCACAAAGTCAGCAGTTCAAATCCACCAGCTACTGTGTGGGACAAAGATGAAGCTTTCTGTTCCTGTAAAGATTTACAGCCTTAGAAACCCTACATAGGATTGCTGTGAATCAGAATAGACTCAATGGCAGTGAGTTTAAATTTTGAAGGAATGGTGGTGACACAATGGGTTAGGTGCTGGACTACTAAACCCAAGGTGGGTGGTTCAAACTGACCAACCTCGTCAAGAAAGATGAGGTTGTCTGTTTCCGTAAAGATTTAGTCTTACAAACCCTCAGGAGCAGTTCTACTCTGTCTTAAAAGGCTTATATGAGTTCGAATCTACTCAACAGCAGTGGAATTATGCTAAAGAGATTATCTCTTGGGACAAATCCAAGTTCTGTGCTTCTCGATTGTTCCATAATACCTACCCAAAACATACAGGTTCTTGTCATTATCTTCCAATGTACTTTTCCTTTCCTTAATGACTTTAGCACTTTCCATATGCATGACCTTTTTCATTAGAAAGTATGGATGTTTGAGTCAGAGAGACATGGGTTTTGATTTCCATTCTGGCACTTACTAGTTAAATAAACTTCAGCTAGTTCATTAGCTGTTCTAAGTCAGAGTGGCCTAATATATATATAAAATGTGTGTGAAACTATCTACCTTTATAGATACAAGTAGAGTCCTGGTGTGGCGCAGTGGGCTAATGTGCCAGACTGCAAAGCCGTTTGAACTACAAGGTCAGCAGTTCAAGCTCACCAGCTTCTCCTCAGAAACCCTATATGGGTAGGAACCAACTCAGTGGTACTTAACAACATAGATACAAGTAACATATATATGAAGGGTCTACCATAGCGATGGGCATCTGGTGAGGCGCTTGAGGATAAGCACTGGACTGCTAACTACAAGGTCAGCAGTTCAATCCCACCAGTCACTCCTTGAAACCCTATGTTGTTGTTGTTATGTGCCGTGGAGTTGGTTTCGACTCATAGCGACCCTGTACAGGATTTCCGAGGCTGTAAATCTTTACAGGAGCAGAAAGCCTCATCTTTCTCCCACGGAACAGCTCGTAGTTTCAAACTTCTGACCTTTCGGTTGGCAGCCCGATTCGTAACCACTACGCTACCAGAGTGCCTTTGAAACCCTATAGAGGGTTGCTATGAGTCAGAACTGACTCAATAGCACTTAACAATAACAACAGCACTCCCTAGTGCTAGACACAGGGTGCGCACTCACTAAGTGTTAGTTTCCTTTCCTATCTATGGCTACCACCATCACTGTTCACTCTCTGTACCTTTCTTTTCTTTTCCTTTTAATTGTCTTTGCCTCCTCTTATTCTTTTCTCTGGAGTCCTAGTTTGGCACTGTAGGATACACACTGGACTGGTAACCACAAAGTCAGTGCTTCAAACCCACCAGCCGCTCTTTGGAAACCCTATACAGGGTTGCTATGAGTAGGAACTAAGTCAACAGCACTTAACAGCAGCAACATGCTTTACTCTATGCCCTCTTTACCAAGCTCTTGCTACTCCCCACCTCTCATCCCCACCCATATCTTACAGAGCCCTCATAGTACAACAGATAAAAGCCCAGCTGATAATGGTTGGTGATTAGAACTCCCCCAGTAGCTCTGTGGGAGAAAGACATGGTTATATGTTCCTGTCAAGAGTACAATTTAGAAAATTGTATGGATCAGTTCTACTTTGTCATATGGAGTTGGCAGGAGTAGAAATCGACACTATGGTATCTAACAGCAATGTTGTTGTTGTTGTAATGTTGTTGTTGTTGTTAAGTGCCGTCGAGTCGGTTCCGACCCATAGCGACCCTGTACAGGGTTTCCGAGGGTGTAAATCTTTACGGGAGTAGAAAGCCTCATCTTTCTCCTGTGGAGCAGCTGGTAGTTTCGAACCGCTGACCTTAAGGTTCGCAGCCCAATTCGTAACCACTATGCTACCAGAGCTCCTGTTGTAATAGCAGCACCCAAATCATGGGTTTTAAACGAGCATTCACTGATTATAATCTCAATCAAAAAACATTTATAGAACACTTACTGTGTGTGAATCAGGTACTCTGCTAGCAACATTAGATTTAAATAAAACTGCCTGAAGGAGTTAAAGGTACTTTAAACTCATTATGTGGATGAGCCATGTTCCTTACAGGCAAATCAATCCTTTTGCAAAGTACATCCACTTGAAGGTGTTGTTGTTATTGTTAGGTACCATCCAGTCAATTTCAACTCATAGAGACCCTCTGACAGAGTAGAACTTCCTCAAAGAGTTTTCTTGGTTGTAATCTATGTAAGCAGACCACCAGGTCTCCCACAGAGCCACACAGTACGTCCAGATCACCAATCCTTTGGTTAACAGCAAGTACTTTACCATTTGTGTAACTAGAGTTAATTAGCTTGGAGTCAGGCTATATTGTTGGCCAAATTGTGGCCATATTTCCTGTTCTTACCCAAGTGTGTGTTGAGGGGTAAACTAGGGTGTATTGAAGCAGGAAGAAGCAGGAAGCTTGGAATGACAGGAAGCAATAGTAAACAGTGATGGAGAAGCAAAAGTCAATGTATAGCCAGTTGCATCCTTTTGACCTGAGGCTGTAATTATAGATGTGTGCACACAGAGATAGCTTAAAGATACTCCTTGTCCCTTCTTTAAAATGATAAAAATAAAATAGCCTTACCGTTTAACAAAAGACTCAGTCGTGATTTATCCACATAAGTTTTTAAAAGTATACCACAGAGGGATATTAATTAATATGGAAAGAAAACCAGGTTATATTATTCACTAACAAAAGTGGGCTGCAAAGGTAAATACACTGGATGAGCCTGTGTTTGTAAGTATTTGATTTGAATCAAAAAAAAGAATGGGAAACTAGCAAGATATTAGTAACAATGGACTCTAAAGATGAGATTATGAATTTTTACTTTTTATGCTTTACTTTCTGGTAGTAGTTTTAAATGTTCCTGTGGTGCTATAGGATAAGCACTGGACTGCAAATCACAAGGTCAATGGTTCAAACCCATCAACTGCTCCTCAGAAACCCTGTACAGAGTCCTCAGCCGCTCCTCAGAAACAGGGTTGCTATGAGTCGGAACTAACTTGACAGCATTTAACAACACAACATGTACTACTTTTTTTTAACAAGTAAAAATGCCATACAGTGAACGATAGAGACTATTACATGGTGAGAAACACCACTAAAAATAAACACACACACACACACACATAGACATAACATATATTACTGTTACGTCTTTTGTGAGTAAAGATAAATAGTTATTCTTTGGCACTGTAGGATAAGTACTGGACTGCAAATCACAAGGTCGGCAGTTCAAATCTACCAGCTGCTCTTTGGAAACACTCCTGTATAGGGTTTGCTATGAGTTGGAGCCGACTCTACATTACTTAACAACAATAGGTAAGTAGGTAAGTAAAGATAGAGAAGGGAGGTAGTCTTTGTGTTCAGTAGGCACATAGAGTCAGACACTTATCCAGACATTGTTCAATACACCCTAGACAGTGTCATCGGCAGTAGGTTACAGGAAAGAGATTGACATGCCCCAGACAGTTGTATGTGAGCATATCCTTTCTGCCGTCAGGTCGACGCCCATGGCAACATTCTCCTCAGTACCTTGGAAATCAGGAATGAAACGACAGGCTCGGAAGTACTCACAAGCATGAGCGACCCCAAGGCCACCATGTACTCTTACGACAGCGCCAGCATCCAGTACCGCAAGCCCTTGAGCAGCCGGGAGGCCTATGGGCGCGCCCTGGACCGCCATGGGGTACACAGCAAGGGCCGCATCCGCAGGCGCGCCTCGCAGCTCAAAGTCAAAATCCCCGACTTGACTGATGTGAACTCCATAGACAAGTGGTCCCGGATGTTTTTCCCCATCACCTTTTCTCTTTTTAACGTCGTTTATTGGCTTTATTATGTACACTAAGGTCTGTCCTCATGGCTCAATTTAGACTACTTTCCTCTTCTCTTTTTTTTTTTTTTTTTTTTGTTGTTTTTATCCCACAGGTCCTCCAGCACATATTGCTGTTTTTGGTTTTTTTTGCGGTAGGAGATTCAGCCATCCAATTGGTTTTAGGTCTTGCTTATCAATTTTATTATTACACCATGTTTACTTCAAAAAAGAAAAGAAAAAGAAAAAAAAAAAAAACGCAAAACTTTTTTTTTTTTTCCCCAGCCTACTGTGGTCCAGGTTATCAGCTCTTTAAGAGCTCTTTAATTGCCATGTTTACAAAAACAAGCTAACATTAAGAGAGAAGTTAGACAGGTAGATTTTAGCAGTGTTTTTCCTAGGCTCCCTGGCTTGATATTTTAAATGGCTATGAAATGAGTGTCTAGCTCTCTTTCTGGTCTGCTTCCTGGTAAACTGTAACTATCTCATGCTGCCAAAAACAAACAAACAACACAATTTCCAGGATCTCAAAAGAAAAACAAAGCCATTGACAAGTTGCAGATTTCCAGGAAGAGAAGAAAACATAAAGGAGACTAGAAGAGTGAGGAAGATTACTACTCTTCACCCTTCCCTTCTCTTCTCCAAAGTCCTAGCTACCCAGAGAGAGTAGGGGAGTGGGGGGTCGGGGATGGAAGGGTGGGTGGAAACAGTTAAGCACTAATCAAGATTAGGCGATCTTCAATTCACCTTCTAACTGGATACTCTGAACAGTACTTCTCTATCAGATTTCCAGACAAAATTTCTGTTAACATTAGAATCCCACCTGGTAGCCATTGAGAAACTTTTCTTTTCCTTGAGAATGAGGATTATGGGGGACAATGAGCATTTTCCTAACTGACCATTTGAAATGAGCAGCCCTCAATTCATTTCATTATCCTGGAATCACTTGATGCTTTGCAGTGAAGCCAGCCATGCCACCACACTGCACAGTCCTGCCCTGGAGAGAGTGAGAGAAGGGGCCAGGGAAGAGGATGAAGGTAACAGTGGCTGTTTCTACTTGAGAAAAACATTGCCTTTTCCATGAGGAAGGCAAGATTTATGTGCTGTGCAATGGGTTACCGGAACTGCCAAATCTTAAATCAAATAGTATATATTTCTTAGCCTTCCAGGGAGCACTATCTAATGGTGACAGGCTACTGAAATTGGCCTCAGTTAGCACTTAATAGCTTTGCTCTCTGTGCTCTGCATTCCAAATTGGGAAATGGAAATGAATGAACTCATTTTGGTGCCAGTCTTCTCTGTGGTCAGATTTCCATTGTAAAGAAATGTTTAAATTGGCAAACTCACAGATAACAATGAAAACAATGACAAAAGTAGTAGACTTTCAAATACTAACACTACCCCTTAAAATGTAAGCCCTATAGATACATTAATCATTTTCATTATTGCTCTCCTTTATCTTTATTTCTATTGGGCTTGGTTCTCATGAAAAGGACATCGCTCAACAGCCCACCAACACAATTCTAAATATTGTATGTTCACTGAAACATCATCATTATTATTATTTGGACTCAACAGCAGTGAACAACTCCAAGAACTCTATGTGTTCACTTGTAGGGTTGAGTGAAATTCTAAGGACACTAACCAGTGATGGAGGAGATTTGAGGTCTGACCCACTGATGTGAAATTAAGGTTGAGGTAATAATGAGACTGATTGTCTCATCTAATAATCTGGCTTTCTCCCAATGGCTTTGATGAAGTCTATTTTTGCAATAGAATCCTCTTCTAAAAATTATGGTCTTTATTAGAAATATAAGCCTAAATTCATTTCCCAACAGGAGAGAGTTAGTTATGAGCTATTCTTTTACATAGCAAGAGAGAAAGGGAATCTCGCTGCCTTCCCCCAACCAAAAAAAAAAAAAAAAATGATGGTGATTGTTGAAGGTAACATATACTTAATATGAATACCGAACCTTTGATTTACTTGGAAAAACTGGTCTCATGAGAAATTAGTTGGGTATGAGGACCAAACTTTCAGCTGGATTATCTGAGTTCACTCAATTGGTCAAGGAAATTCTCAGCATCTGACAACCAAGTGAGCCATCCACTCAGCACCTTGGCAGAATGAGCTTCCTCGCTATAGATAATCATCCCAAAGTGTCCATCTAGAGGAGGTTGTGGCCATACCAGTGATTGTCAGGTTCATATTCTGAGTGACCAACCAAAACTACTCACTGTGCAGCCATTTATTTTAAATGCTGGAAAAAGAGACTTTGGGCTAGTTCCCAGCAAAAAGGAATCATTCTAATGTCAAAAAAGCTTCTAAAAGCTTTTAAGGGTGAAAAGCTTAATCAAAGGTAGTTGTCTGCAATCTATGTGTTCCTTAACAAAACAATTTCCCTTGATTTCTTTGTTTGGATCATCCTTCTTAGAATAGACTGAGGAAATTCAAATTTTTATGACTTTTTTAGAAAGTCTTCTCTTAAAAAGTCTATAGAGCTTTTGATGCTTTTACTTTTAGAGATTAAAGCATGTTTAAGGAGATAAAAAGAAAGCGAGAACATCTTAGATTCCTATACCTTAACCTTTGTAAAACTAAAATTTGTGTTCCTGAATATTCATCAGACACAAAATGGTGTCACTATGTTTCCTTCTGCACAATAGAAGGGTCAGAGCCACGATTTTTAAAATATTATTGAGTAGTTCTGATTTTAGAGTCAAAGGCAGCCCCAGGAACAGAGAAATTGATAGCTGCCTGGCTCATGACCTCTCTCCCCATGTGTTTCTTTCTGGCCACCTCCTGGCAACACCCTCCCCTCCCTGCTCTCATCTACTATTCTCTTTCCAGTGCACGGAAAAGAACATTTTTTCCTCCTCCTCTGCCTTTCTCCTTTAGTTTACCCAAAATAATATTTGAAAACATGCAAGTTATTAGATATTCCTAAGTGACACTCAAACCAGTCTACATTCGTGGAAGATGCAGATCATTACATTCTAGAGACATTACTACTTCATTATGATGTCCAGGTTCTTTTCTTTTTGCCATGAAAATAGCCATATTCTGATGCATCTCTTATGTGGCAGCAGAGGCTGGAAATTGCAAGTATTTACTCTCTGAATCCAGTCATATACAGGGAACCAACCCCATGTTCACAGTACATAAATCTTGTCTAAGCCCTGTGTGGAACCAGCAGAAATCTCATCTTGCACTTCATGGTGAGGAATATTTACTCATTCCTTCCATTCATGTTCCTTGGCTTAAAATATCAGGGGTGATATGTGTGCATTACACTTAACCAGCTTTGTGAGGCAAAGACCCAGGTACCAACATTTCTTGGGCTTGAATTACCTAGGATCATTGCCTCCAACCTCTACGTTGCCAAATAGAAACAGCAGACTGGTTGGTAATTCTGCAGACCAAATGATATGTGCTTTCATACCTGCCATCTTTATTGTGCATCACAATCAACGAAGGATCTTGAGACTGCAAAGAGAAAAATGTGGTGCAGAGAACAAACTTTGGTTTATGGGTCCAAAGATTGGATTTCCTCAAACAAATATGTACAATGCATAGAAATGTTGACCAATTCCTATCTTTCTAAAATCAATGACTATTTTGTAAATATTCATTTAAGAAAGAATTCGATTAAAATTCACCAAGTTAAAACTAAAAAAGAGATACGTTTCTAGTGATAAAAGGAAACTATCTCCAAGATCTCGTATCTGGACTATCTAGATTAGTATTTTACCAAAGGTGATATGCAACCATTTTTCTCCCCTAAACAGAATATGTCCCAGAAGGGAGGAAAAAAAGAAATGTGCAAGTCTTTGTTCATGTTGATTCAATCAGCAGTTATATTGATGAGGAGGACAGAAAAACAAACAATAACATCTATGTTTTCTGAAAGCAAACCGTAACATGAAGGCAAACTTGCTAACGGAGTGTAGACTATTATGTAAACTTCCTTGTAAATTCTGTACATAGTTCATTGAACTGTTCCCTGTTGCGTGGTGGTCCTCAGCTTTGGATGGATGTTTGAAAAAAAATTCGAACACTGTAAATAATATAAGCTTATCAGGCACTTGCTTTTTATTTATGAAGTGAAATGACTAGTGATTTGGGCCCAAACCAGAATCCTTTTAGCTCTTGCTCTTTCTCTGCCATTTTGTGTGTGCAGTTGTGTAACTCTGCTGCAAGCCATAACCAGGTGTCTGTGACCACTGCCTCATGTCCCTACCCCACTGACAGAGACAGCAGCTGCCCAGAAGCGGCAAGCCTGTGGGGCTTGGGAACAGCGCACCAGCAGAAACAGAAACTGTAGCAAGCTGCTCTCAGAACTGTGTCATGAAAAGTAGATGTGTTTTCTATCAGTCATTAGTGACTATTCATATCCTCAGATACTGACTTATCCATGTTGTTGACAGGGTCAGGAATTGAAGAGATGGTTAAAATCCACAGGTAATTCCAAACTTCACTTGTATCAATAGCTTTAGCTTCAAATTTCTTCCCTTCCAAAATGTTTCCCAGAACTGTTAATAAGAATACATAGGTTTGACCAGGGTTGACAGATAGTCAGATGTTCAGATGATGGAAAGAAGAGAAATCACAGATGATTTTGACAAGCCACCAACTGGATGATTTGTTCCTTCCAAGGGAAGAAAGATCCAGAGTGAACCATGCTGTATGTTTAAAAGGTAAAGACAAATAATGGTATACAAATTGACTGGGAATAAAAACAACTATTTGTCTATTGGAGGTCAGGGGTATTTTGATGTGTGCAATTAAGTTTATAAGAGAGGCTGGTAATTCAACGTTCTCAAATATCTTTCTCACAAGTTCTGATATTCTTGCCAGTCTTCATGATGGTGGGATAATATGCCTCAAGATGTGTTTCCATGCAAATTGGCAGCCTGGAGTGGGCGATAGCGTCTCTAGGAACTCAGAATATCTAAGCAAGAGGACACAGACTGTTTTTAAGAATGTTTTAGAGTGGACATTGTCTTTTTTGGAGGTAGTCATTTTAAGAGCCAGAAGAGAAGAGAGATCTATCTTTTCAGAAGTTTTGGTTCCAAAATGTGCCAACGAGGGTCCCCCATTTACTGTTTTCTGTTTCAGAACACTTTTTCGTTTTACACGAACCATGTTTTCTTCTAGATGACTGAAATCAGCTAAACTGACAGGAAAACCTTAATTGTTGGAGGCAGTAATTTCACCAGCATGAACTTGAAAGGGTCACAGAACAGATCAGAAAGCAGGTTCTTTGAAGGATAAGGGTAAAGAGTTTTCTGTTTGTTTTACTTCTCCAGAGAAAGAATTTACTTGTTCATATTGAAGTTGTCAAACAGTTGTGGGTTATTTCTTTATTTTTCCTGCCTTGGGCATTTCATGGGAAGGGCAACTATTCCACATTGACCCTTAGATGCCTTTTCTGTCTTGAAACAAGCAACATTCATCACAAAGGTTTCAGTTGGAATTGAAAGATTGGGAAGATGGGTGTTT